TGTGTGTGTGGCCAGCTCAGCCCACCAGGGGGCGGGGCTGGCTGGCATGTGGTGCTGGGGATAGAACCGCGGTCCCTGTGCTTTGCCAAGCTTGTTTCAAGTAGGTGCTTTAGACCACTGAGCCATCTCTCCAGCCCTTCACAATGATATTTTTAATAAAGATAGTCGATAGAATCAGTAGAGGGGAAAAGAGAAAAAGCATGAGTTTTTGGTTATATCTATTTTTTTTTTTTTTCATTTATGTATTTGGTACAGGGTCTCACTATGCAGCTCAGACTTGTAGTGATCCTCCTGTTTTCAGCCTCCCAGTGCTGGGATTACAAGTGTGCTCCACCATGCCCAGACTCAATGCTGGCTCAGTGCCCTGCTGGGGCAGACCAGCACAGCATGCAGGACCAGGGATCGATCCCTGGGCTTGCCAAAGCAGGTGCTTAATCTGCTTAGTTATCTCGCCAGCCCTGTATCTCACTGTTAACAGTGGTCACGGGACAGGGTCTGAGGCTGCTCCCACCAAGATAAGGTACCTAAACCCATCTTGCCTGTAGGATAAATTGCAGGCTTGCTTATTGGAAAAATAATTTTTAGGACATCTTTATGCAGAGGCATAAAAGTATTAGGGAGAAGTCTCGCTGTGTAGTTCAGATCAGCCTTGAGCTCACTATGTAGCTCAGGCTGGCTCAAACTTGCCATGATTGCTCCTGCTTGCGCAGATTGTAGGAGTATGCCACCACACCAGTGAACAGGGAGAAATTTATTTATTTATTTATTTTTGCAGAACTGGGGATTGAACTCAGGCCCTTGCGCTTCCAGGGAAGCCCTTATTCTACTGAGCCATCTCCCTGGACCCAATAGGGAGAAATTTAAAAGTACCCACTCAAGGACTAGGGAGATGGCTCAGTAGAATAAGGGCTTGTCTGTCGAGCACAAGGGCCTGAGTTCAATCCCTGGTTCTGTAAAAAAAAGAAGAGTATGGGTCCTCAAAAGAGATACAGGCCCCTTATTTCCTATAACCAGGATATTTATGCTTCTCTTTGGGGTATGGTTACCCTAGGAAAAAGTGGCCCAATCCCCCCAAAAGGATAGTGGCCCACTTTACAGGTATGTGTCTAATTTTTCCCCCTGAAATGAATGATCTAAGCATTCTTTAAATTTTCTCAGTCTGTTTTTTCATCTTGGTATCATGTTTCTACTATGCAACTTAAGCCAGTGTGAATTTACAGTATTCTTGAGAAATTTTGGTGGGATGGGTCTTGAAGTAGCCCAAATTAACCAAGGGAATGCACATATGGATCACCTCGACTAACTTCGCCTGGGTCCTGGCAACTATGGTGTTTTTTTGTTTTTGTCTTTTCCCCCCCATAATTTTGAGAAACAAATAGCAGTGAGACAGTTTCAAACCAAATTGGTAGGACAGTTTCAATAATTAACACATTGCATACATTCTTCCTAGTGGTTAATTGCTGTACAAGATGTGGACTTGATATCCTATTTACAAACACTACTGTGGTGTTTTTAAAAATACAGTTTTTAAGGCTGGGTGTGGAGGTGGACACCTGTGATCCCAGCACCCTGTAGGCTGAGGCAGGAGTATCATTGCGAGTTCCAGGCCAGCCAGGGGCACAAAGCCAGTCTCTTGTCTCACAAAACCAAGGAATAAAAGTAAAAAGTACAATTTTTAGTTTTGATTTTTCCTTGTCTCCTTTCTGCATTTCATCCTATCACCTCGCCTTATTTTTTTATTTTTTTTTTTTTGAGGCTCAAATGCCTTTAGGGCATTTCTGGTTTTCAGTAACTGTCTGGGTTCGAACGAAAGAAGCTTGAGCTTGAGGGCTTTGTTTAAGCAGGCGCTTAAACAACTGAGCTACTGGGCAGGCCCCCTCGCCTTATTGTTTGACAGCTTTGAGTACACAGCTTGTTTTATTTTAGGTCCCCCCCCACCCCGTCTCCCCCGCATGGCTTGTTTTTTAAAAAGTGAAGAGCGCGATCGGGTTTGGGGTGAGGTGTATCTTTCAGATGAAGAAGAGGGATCCTGGACCCGCGGGGACCACCGCCACCTCTGCGTGCAGCGTGCATTAGGGCGATGTTGAATTAGATCCCAGAACATTTTGTCCTTTGAGACCCGAACGGCGGATGCCCGCAGAGGCTCGCCCGTGTACGGGACTTCTGTCTCCGCTACCTGAGGTCGGGGCAGCACAGGGCTTTGAAGCAGGTCAGCCGGGAGGTCCCGCTCTCGAAGATTCCCTTCTGCCGGGGAGGAGGAGACCCCCATGCAGCGCTGAGGCTGCCTTGCTCCCGGGGTTGCCATGGTCCGTGGGAGCGAAATGCTGGCCGCTGCCGCCCCGCGGCCCGAGCAGGTTGTCGCAGCGTCCTCTCCGGCTCTTTTCAAAAGCTTTTCAAGGAGCTGGGGTGGGGGGTGGGGGGGAAACGGCGACAACGAGACAGAAACTTGGGCTTCAGTCCAAGCGGCCCAGAAGCCACTTGGGCGGATAAAAGGCTTTTCTCACCCTGGGCTCGCTTCAGAGGGCTTTAACCTCGCGGTTTTCCTGGAGAGCAGACGTGGCTACTCCAGCCCAGCCCGCCGTGGGCAGCGCTTTCCGGCCTGCTTCCGAGGCCCTCTCCCCGCGGCCGGCAGCGGGAAGCGGAGGCAGACCGACGTGTGGCCCTGAAGGCGGCGGCCGGGTCAGGCCGGCGGGGGTGTGACTGTGCACTTTCTGGGAACACATGGCCGGAAACCCGGAGCCGGGCGGAAGATGACTAGGCGCCCCTAGCTGCAGGCCTCCGGACGCTGCCTCGCTCCCTCGCTCCCGGGCTCTAGAGCAATTGAGGGGGATTTAACCACCCGAGGGTCGGCTGGGGGCGGGGCCTGGTCCGGGGCGGGGCCTGGTCCGGGGGGCGGGGCCTGGTCCGGGCGGGGCCTGATTCGGGGCGGGGCCTGCAGACGGCGGCGCGGGCGCTGGGAGGAGCCGCGCGGCGTCGTCTTGTAGAGGCGCGCGCCCGCCCGGCCCTGAGGCGGCTGCGGCGCGTCATACTCTCCCCAGCCCGAGCCCAAGAGTGGGGAGGCGGCGTCCGCGGCTGGGGCTCCTGCTGTTGTAGTGGGGCAGGTGGAGACGACCTGCGGTGTCTGAGGTGAGCGGGGCGTGCGGGGGCGCGGCCTCCCACTTCCCGACCGTCTCCCCTCCTGCCTTCTGTCACCGGTTGCCCGCTCCGGGTTGGGCCCGGCGTCCGGCAGGGGGTACAGAGCCCTGCGCTGCGGGCCAGGCCTGAGGGGACACAGTGGCCGCTTGGGAGGGCGGGGGTCCCCGACATGCGCGCCCACCTTGAGCCGGCCCTCAGCGCGCGCCCGGGCCTTCCCGTCTTCCGCGCGCCTCAAGATGGAGCGTGGACTCCTCGCCCCGGCGCGCGCCCTGCCCAGGTCCTGTCCTCTCCTCCGCCGACTGACATTGGGGGCCCGGGCCCGGGGTGTCTGGGCCCGGGCCAGACCTGTTGCCGCGGGCGCCACCACCCGCCTCCGAGCCTCCCTCAGGCCCTGCCGCAGGTGCCCGCGAGCCGGAATGAAGCGCGCCCGGCCCTGGCTCCCCGGCTCGGCTACGCTCTGCTCGGCCGGCCCGCCTGGCCCGATCGCTTGGCTTTTGTTTTCCTCCCGAGCAGGGCTGTGATTCTTGGAGAAGCTGGAAGGCAAGAGGGACCAGGGCTCAGAAATCACCGCCGCCGGGTAACTCGAACCTGCTAGTGCAGCCGGGGATTGGCTCGGGAGACAGATGACACTTGTTCAGAGCTTATTGGCAAAGCACAGCCTTTGATTTCCCCGAATTTGGATCTCCTGTGCTGCAAAAATCTGATTTTGATGGGGGGGGGGCGAACCCTGAAACCACTTCATGTGGCTTTTCCATCTGGCAGGAGCCAAGCACCACCATCACCCCCTCCCGTCTCAGCTCCACCTCTTTGGTATGAAGAAATTACACGTTAAGTCTGCGTTCGATGTAGATACTTGTTTTTAGCAAAACGGGCGCCAATTACTGTTTTCAAGAAGGAGGGCGGAGGAGATTCTGTAATTTTTTCTTTGTGTGTGTGTGAGTGTGAGTGTGTGAGTGATTCAGCAGCGTTGAGTTCTTCCTCTTTTAGGTGAGGACTGGCTGGCCGGTTAGAGTGCTGTAAATATCCCTGCCGCGCCTGCTGCTGTTTTTATGGTGATGATCCTGGGGTTTTTATTATTAGTACGATTACCCATAGTGTCCTCGATTCAGGAGAGCAATGTTTGACTTTCCGATGTCAGGGCAACCTTTTTTGGTGGAGCCCTTCTTCAGCCTTGGGCCCTTTCTTTCCCTCTGGTAATAATAACAATTAACATTTATTGAGGGCTCCTGTGATCAGGAGTCTCTGGGCAAATCTTACAAAGGTGTTTTATCTCTTTGAATCAGCCCAATAAGGGTGCTGTCATTATCCTTAGTTTACGGAGAGGGCATAGAAAGGTCAAGTAACTCCAGAGCTGCACAGCTAATAAGTGATGTTGGTGGAATTTGTACGCTGGTCTTCTCACTCCAGGTGCATAGTTATTTTACCAATGTGGTGAAACTGGCAGGGAGCAAGGCCAGCCCTTATTAAAGCAAAGTAAGTGGTTGATAGCTTGGCCAAGGGCTAAGATTTTGAGATTCAGAGAAAGTAGGCAAGTAGTGAGTAGGCTTAGACTTCTCACCAGGCCTGGTTTAAATCTGTAAAAATAAACTGGGTGGGGATTCTGAAAGGATGTCTGTCGGAAGAGCAGCATTGTTTCCTTCTCTACATCCCCCTCCCCCCTGCAGGGTCTTGCTATATAGTCCAGGCTGGCCTTGAACCCTCTGAGATCCTACTGCCTTAGCCTCCTGAGTGCTAGGGTTACAGGCATAAGACACCATGTGCAGCTCTTTCCCTACTCTTTCATCATTGCTTGAACACAACGTGAAACAATCTGTTTCAGTCCTCAAGAAGTTTAGAATTTGATGGTCTTTCTTTTTTGGTGGAACCAGGGATTGAACTCAGGCCCTTGCGCTTGCCAGGCAAGTGCTTATTCCACTGAACCGTATCCCCGGCCCCTTGATAGTCTATTTCTTCCTCTCCTTTTCTTGGCAGTACTGGGCCTTGCACTGGGGTACATCTCTAGCCCTTATCTTTGTATCTTATTGGTACATTTTATTTTATTTTATTTTTTTGCGGAACCGGGGATTGAACTCAGGTCCTTGCACTTGCCAGGGAAGTGCTTATTCCACTGAGCCATCTCCCCGGCCCCTATTGGTACATTTTAGATATACATAGTGATTACATTCATCTTAGGGAATTTGTATGTGTCCTTGATCTATTTTGTGACAACTTTTTTTCCCCCATTCCCCTCCTCTCCCTTCAACCCCTCTTCCCCTCCTTTACAAAAGCTTTCTTTTGTTTTTTCCTTCTAGTCTCTTTTTTCTTGTCCCTTTCTTCCTTTCTCCTCTCCTCCCTTTCACCTTCCCCTTTTTTTTTTGGAGACAGGGTCTCACTATGCAGTTCAGGTTGTCCTTGAGCTCACTTTGTAGGCCAGGCTGGTCTCAAACTCACAACGATCCTCCTGCCTCAGCCTCCTGAGTGCTGGGATTACAGGCATGTGTCACCATGCCCTGCTCTCCTTCCCATTTAAACATTTTAACTTTTTATTTTATTTTAATTTTTTGAGACAAGGTCTTGGTGTGTTGCCAGAGCTATCCTTGCCCTTGCTATCATCCTGGTGTTAACCCAGAGTCTAACATTGAGTCTTTTACACCCTGTGTGACCCAAGATGCCTGAGAACTAATTCAATAATGTTCATCTCTAGTTTTTGTTTTTATTTTCCTAATGGTGCTGGAGGTAGAACCTGGGGCTGACATATGCAAACAGTTCTACCATTGTGCTACACTTCCTACCTGGCTCTTTTTTTTTTTATTTTTTCTGGTGGGACCTGGGATTGAACTCAGGCCCTTGAGCTTGCCAGGCAAGCACTTAGTCTACTGAGCCATCTCCCCGGCCTTTCCTTCTTTTTTTATTTTTATTTATTTTTATGTATTTAGTACAGGGTCTCACTACACAGATTGGATTTGTATTGATTCTTTCCTGTTTTTTGGCCTCCCAAGCGCTGGGATCACCAGGGTGAGCTGCCTCAGGAGTCTCAGGGCAACCTGGGGGCGGGGCCAGCCCAACTGGCTCGCTCCTGTTTGTTGGGATTAATGCTCTTCATCCTACACAAAAGTAGTCACCTTTGAATTTATCACATATTCATTTATTATTTACAGATGAACTTTGGTCTTTCGAGAATATAGCTGCTATGGAGAGTTGTGCTTCATGTTATGGGATCTTCTGACTCCTTTTTGTTTTTTTTTTTTTTGAAACAGGGTCTTGCTATGTAGTTCTAACTGGCCTTGAACTCATTTTTATGGCCCAGACTGACCTGGAACACAGCAGTCCTCCCACCCTAGCCATTCAAGTGCTGGATTTACAGGCATGTGCCACTACATCTGGCTTCTGTAGACTTTCATATGTTCAATAAACGCTTATTTAGATAATTAAAAATGAGGGTCACAGATCTTTTTTGTGTGTGGGGTATAGTCCTGAGAATTGAGCTACCTCCCCAGCCCCAGAACCTTGCTCATGCTGTTTGCTTCTGCCTGAGCCCCACTTTTGACCCCTCAAGATTAGTTTTATAGAAGTTAAAGCCAGAGATAAAAACAAGGTAGTGTGATAACCCAAGAAGATGGTTTAATAGTAAAACAAAGCTTTATATGTTGTTAAGTGACTTTTAACCATGTAAATGTCTACCATCCAAATACCTGTAACTTCTTTCCTCCTTTTTCTCCTTTTTTTTTGAGACAGGGTCTCACTATGCAGTTCATGTTGGCCTTGTGCTCACTTTTGCAGCCCCAAGGCTGGTCTTGAACTTGCAGAGATCCTCCTGGCTCAACCTGGGTGCTGGGATTAAAGCATGTGCCACCATCCCCTGTTGTGGGGCTGCATGGTAGACACCTGCATTTGGGCCAAGATGGTGCACCACTGCCCTGCATGTGGGGTCAGGGATTGAACTTGGGTCCTTGTGCTTGTCAGGTAGGTGCTTATGCCTCTGAGCTATCTCTCTGGCCCCTCTTTCCTTCTTGAGTTAGAAGGTCAGGTATGATTTTCTCCGATTGGAAAAGTAGACGTGTTTATTAGTCCTGGCCAAGCTGTAGTTCTCTTTACAGTATTCTTAAAGTGTGATTACTTTGTACCCCCAACCCAGGGCCACAGTTTGTGGAGCTGTGTTGTGCTGTCTGTGTGCTGTAATGAGGTTTCATTTGATATTCTACTGTGTGCCAGGTGACGTTCAAGAGGCTAATGACACAGCCCTGGATAAAACAGGCAAATTGTTCTCTTGAAACTCCCCTTTATAAATAAACTAAGACAATAACATACTAAGTAGCTACATTTAATGTTAGAAAATGATACATGATAAGGAAGTCAGGTAAGGAGGAATAAGAAGTTTTGGGGATAAAGATCACAGTAATGGAAATCCCACTGAAAATGTGACTTGTAGAGAGACCTAAAGTAAGTAAAGGAGTGCTGCTCCCAGAGGGAATTAAGGGCACACTTGGAGAAGGATTTTTTTTTTGGGGGGGGGGCCTGCTCAGGATGCCTTAAGGGTGGGTCTGGTGCAGCTGTGGAGCTGGGGACCTAACCACGGTTCCCTGCGCCTGATTGAGTTTGCCAAAGCAGATGCTTTAGACAACTGAGCTAACCCGCAAGCCCTTAAGTGCACACTTGGAAGGAGGAACAAGTGCAACTGTCCTAGAGCGAAAAGCTTGTAAAGGACAAATAACTTAAGGCCTTTCAGGCTATTGTCTTTAAAATATGTTTGTTAAACTATTAAAAATAATAAAAGGTACAGAATAATTTTCTATTGCATTAATGTTTAGATGAAGGTAAAGTCTTAGGCTTCTGATGCCTAAGACTAAAATAATTTTATTTTATTTATTTATTTGTTTATTTTGGCGGAACCAGGGATTGAACTCAGGCCCTTGTGCTTGCCAGAGAAGCGCTTATTCTAAGCCATCTCCCTGGCCCCAATAATTTTATTAATTTGCCTAAAAGGCTGCACAGCTAGTGAATAAGGCTAGAAA